AAAAAAAAAAAAAAAAAAAAAAAAAAAAAAAAAAAAAAAAAAAAAAAAAAAAAAAAACTAGGGGTTATAAATGGGTCATGAGACCCACGGTAAGAACGAAGTTCTTTAAACATGACATGAGTACAAAGACACACAATTTCTCAGGTAACAAGGGGGTTGCCAAATCCATAGGAAGAACAAAGCTCTTTTAAAATAAGTACTGCATTCATGTAATTCACTAAAACGATTACTTGAAAAACGAATAAAAAAAAAAATAAGAAAATTTAGTTCAGTACTCACGAATTTAAAAAAATTAGAAAATTTAGTTTAACACTCACGATAGTTGAACTTCGTGAGTACGTCATGCATAAATACAGTATTGTTTAGTACAACCACTATACAAGTTTTTGTTTAGTGAACTACATGAATGCAGTACTTACGTTTATAGAGCTTCGTTCTTCCTACGGATCTGGCGACCCCCTTGTTACCTGAGAAATTGTGTGTCCTTATACTTATCTCATGTCTAAAGAACTTTGTTCCTACCGTGGTTATTTAAATGTGATTCCTTTTATCGTTTTAATTAAATTATGACAATTCTAATATACATTTAAATCGGAGTAGGGGTGCCCGATTTAGCCCTGCTAGGGTGGCCTCAGGGGGAGGTTTCCTATACTTCAGATAACAGCAGGAGGTAAACCAGCGAATTAAAGCTTGTCTTAAAGCATGATGTGAGCTAGTATTGGCTAAAGTGAGATACAGCTCTTCCAATAACGTGAGGTCAGCCAGGATTGGCTTGGCATATTTACACTGATATCTTGTAAAGCGAATGATAAAAAATACGTCAAAAATAGCAATACTAGTGTATACAGCTGACAATATCTTACTATCGTTGATTCTTTACTATGAACATTGAATCAAAATTTAATTGACGTTGAATTTTTGTGTATACATTTGTAACTGAGACACGGTTCCTAAATTTGTTTGTTCTTTGCAACATTATGATGATTGGGACTGAAAAATGAGAACTAACATTTTTTTACATTTATTAGAGTAAGTTTTTATCAGAAAACTAGAAAAAAAAATTTTTATAAATGACAAACAGACATCAAAACTGCTCAAGTATCAAATAGTACATCTCAAAATACAATGTTTTCACTTTTAAATGTGTATATATTTTAGTACGATTTATTTAAAAGTATTGTGAGCAAAAAAATTATTGATTGCTTCAAATTATTTAATTTTTTTTCTTTTGTAAAAGTTACAGTCGATGAAATATTTTTCTTTTAACATCAACATATATTGTACTTAAATCGAAAAGTTGAGAATTTTTTCTTGTCTGACAAACATGTTAAGAAATTTATTTTTTCTTTCTAAAATTTCAAGTCTTACTTTCTTTTCTGAAGTTCATCCCTGATACGGAACGTACATGACATCATTCTAAAAATTGTGCTAGATTATATAAAGCTTATCAAATGATTGTAATGCTCAAGTCACTTACGTGGTTTAAATAAAGACGAGCCATCTTACTTTTCATGGCCTTGATACTACAAGTAAGCATTATGTCAAGGTATATGTACGTAACTGCCACATCAGAATCAATAGTTAATTAGTTGCCTGTTTGCTACTGTACGTATTTGTGTATGCCCCAAATATTAATTTAATGGCTCTGTTTTTAACTAGTATTTGAAATGACTATTATGGTTCCATCAAATAGATGTTTAAAAATCGTCTATTTCAATAATTATTTTTTGTAGCGTTTATTCATAAAGTTCTTGCACTTTTTGATTCTGCTACAAAGTATTTCATACATGATTATTTCTCTGTAAGTATAGTAAAAATAAGATGTTCAGAAAAAATGTACTTTATAGTGTAAAATTATTCAGACTGAGTTTTTANAGAAAACTAGAAAAAAAAATTTTTATAAATGACAAACAGACATCAAAACTGCTCAAGTATCAAATAGTACATCTCAAAATACAATGTTTTCACTTTTAAATGTGTATATATTTTAGTACGATTTATTTAAAAGTATTGTGAGCAAAAAAATTATTGATTGCTTCAAATTATTTAATTTTTTTTCTTTTGTAAAAGTTACAGTCGATGAAATATTTTTCTTTTAACATCAACATATATTGTACTTAAATCGAAAAGTTGAGAATTTTTTCTTGTCTGACAAACATGTTAAGAAATTTATTTTTTCTTTCTAAAATTTCAAGTCTTACTTTCTTTTCTGAAGTTCATCCCTGATACGGAACGTACATGACATCATTCTAAAAATTGTGCTAGATTATATAAAGCTTATCAAATGATTGTAATGCTCAAGTCACTTACGTGGTTTAAATAAAGACGAGCCATCTTACTTTTCATGGCCTTGATACTACAAGTAAGCATTATGTCAAGGTATATGTACGTAACTGCCACATCAGAATCAATAGTTAATTAGTTGCCTGTTTGCTACTGTACGTATTTGTGTATGCCCCAAATATTAATTTAATGGCTCTGTTTTTAACTAGTATTTGAAATGACTATTATGGTTCCATCAAATAGATGTTTAAAAATCGTCTATTTCAATAATTATTTTTTGTAGCGTTTATTCATAAAGTTCTTGCACTTTTTGATTCTGCTACAAAGTATTTCATACATGATTATTTCTCTGTAAGTATAGTAAAAATAAGATGTTCAGAAAAAATGTACTTTATAGTGTAAAATTATTCAGACTGAGTTTTTACATTTCAAATTTAGTAGGTCTGCATTGTTTATGAGTTAGTTATTGTAACATCTGTATGGTTTTGCTCTTTAACGTCAGTCTAGCGTTCATTAAAAAAAATAATCAATACATAATCAATACGTAACGCTCTTAAGTTTTCAGTTTTTGAGACTATATATACAGACAATTTCTTTTTGCCTTTTTTAAACTAACATAGCCTTTTTATGTGTCCATGCCGCATTCCTCTTATCAGAAAAAAATCACCTTTATTATTGAAAACTGTAATTATAAATATAATTGAATAAGTTCTATACAATTCAACCTGATTAAATGCATCAATGTATGTATTTAAAATCCACTGTATTCAGACTTTTGAAATACGTAAAATTTGTTTAAACTGTCTAACTAGATCTGTAAAAAATTTTCAAGTGTATTAATGACAAGCATTACTTCTTTTGTTTAGTAATTTTTGAATTAATACTTTTCAGACTGTGAAATGCCTTCTTATTATGCCTAATGCTGAGTCAGCACTAAATGAAGAGGCTGGTAAGCTGCTACTGGAACATTATAATGATTATTTTGACAGAGCCAAAATGATGACAGAGATACACGCACAGGTAATCTTAATGATAATTTTTCTTCCGATGCAAAAATATATTAATATTTTACTACATTTTAATGTAAGTGCAAGTATGACGCGTGTTTAAACATCATGCTCAATATTTCAGCGTATGTGGTCTTATCAAAAAATATATTTTAAGTGTTACTACTGCACCCCCTCTTTTTTCTTGGTGTAATCATGGTGTATAGGCGCTGACTAATGAATGTTTATTTGTGCGGAAATCAAGGAATCAAGGTCCAACACGTAGTTGTTAAAGTCAACTACCTATCACAGGATAGGCTCGTTACCTAGTACGAAGTTAATTGAGTTGAGTTGCCGATTTAATGAATGAGAGAAAGAAATAAAAGAACCATTTTTTTTATTTTTTTTTTTTTTATTTAATGAATAATCTTAAAATCCCTGCAATTTATACATCGATTGTTTGTAATTATTTCTTTAATGAAAAACTTTTTAATGTAATAATATGATTAAACCTTTATATCTCCATAACTCAGATAATCAGTAGTCGGCTAGAATGAATATCTCTCTATTACCACCTTCATTAGTGTAATGCAATTGTTTTATCAACTAAGTTTCTTATAATTAATTACAAATCTTAAATAATTGTAAGAAACTTACAATCAATTAAAAGGGGAAGGTATATTTCAGAATGAGCGCACACAAAAATTTAAATTTATATGTAGGCTTTATTCCAGAAATATCTATGTAAGGAATCGCTTTTTAATCTATACAAAACACTAAATATATTTTACTCCTTGCC